ACAATCAAAATGAGGTTTTTTTCACCATTACTCAACAAAGCTGATGGAATGCAAGGTCATATCTATCAGAGAAAACTGATCTAGGCATTACTGACCGAGTTAATATACAGTACAAAATTGAACAGGAAAAAAAAAACGAATCGTCTCTCGGTCTACTATTCAAATGAAAGTAGTAGAACACCTTCGTTAAATTCTTTCCCGGTTTAACCACGAACAAGAGAAAATAAAAAGACTATGATATCGTTCGAGGCCGCCAAAATACTCGTTTGGATATACAAAGTAAACTGTGCAATGGGTTTGTTTTATCGGCGACAATGACACCCACAATATTCCAGGCCATTTCGTGAAAATCCAAATCATCACGAAAGACGCCCTCCAGTTGTGATTCGGTCAAAGGGAAGCATGGAAGGTTCGCGTTTTTATCTTCATGATCCTTCAACATAGCCGAATGCCCCAAATGCGTGGTGGACAACACTATTGCGAACCGATACTTATCACTAGCTTCATCGTAGGATATCTCGTACCTGGATAACACATCTTTATATTTCAGTTCAATGTTCAAATAAATAAACCGAAAGAAAACGATGCAAGATAAACGGCCTACTTCACCTTTCATCGTCATTTTCCAAATACATCACCTCTTTCCGGAGCGATTTCTTTATTTCCTCGTCGTTCGCCATCATTAGCGGGTTGTATTTAAAGCTACGTAAAAAAGTAAAAAATAAAAACAGGAATCTACAATATTACATAAAATTTTTAAAAACACGATTATTTACCAGGGATCTCCTTCATTATTAAAAACAAGGATGGATTCGTCATTCTGGCTGTACTCTGCATCTTCGAACGCACGCTTCCTCATTTGATGAAACTTTCGAAGGCGCTCTTTTCTACCTTTTCCTACGGATCTTCCAACAGCTTCCCCATTCTTAATAAGCAGCAAACATTGAACATCAACCAGACGCGTGTGCTTTCCTGCGCTGAAAAATAAAAATTCCAAAGTACCTTCATCTCGCCAACTTTTTCTATTTTATAGCTAACCCCATGGTGATTTCCCCAAGATCGACTTTGATACTTGTTACGTATAGTGGCAGTATATTGAACCAATTTCGGCAAGACGCGGATGGTCACACATAAATCGTGGTCCGGCTGATTGGATGACCATTTCGATTTTGGCGGTGGCGGATTGTAAAGTCCGGTGTGTATGAGTACTTGGGTCGATTATTTAAGAATAAATTAACCGTGTAATTTCATGAGAAAAAAGGAGGCACATTTCAGAAAGTAAGATTACCTGCGACAATATCGGAATCATCGGTGTACACATCGGTTCCCCACAGAAATCGATTTCTGACTTTCATATTTTCCCATGTTAAATATTTTGACGGAATCCAAACTTCCAATAATCCGTTCTCATGAAATTCCAAGGGCGGAAGTATCTCCTTGGGATTATAGATGAGATGCCCTATTTATCAACAATCAATAATTACAAGATTGCTATCAAAAGAATTTGGGTCAATCTAAATCTTTTGATTCGGCAGCACCACTAACCAAGATGACGTTCTTCTCGACCTTCCATGTTGAGAGTGTCATCGTTTTTAACGATCAGGTGTGTTTCCCTTTGTAGGTTTAACCCTTCTAAGAGCGAACGATTCAAGGAAAACTCTTCAATTTCATCATCACCATTCTCGCTTTCGTCGTTATCCGATCTGCAATCGTTATTTGGATCAAGCGCATTATCGTCTCCGCTATTTTCTTGTTCATCTGCGTCTTCGTCAATGTTGTTGGATTCCCTCGTGACGCCATTTGCGACTTCTACCTTATATTCGTTACTTTCGCTTCCGCTTGCAGGATGATCTATATTGATGGTGGAAGATGAGTGTGCATGAAAATCTAACGGATTGTGAGACCAGTTCAACGCATTAGTGGAGTTTCCAACGCCCATTTCTTTGATATTCATGTCAAGCTTCTTGATAAATGGATCATGATCACCGTTCGAAAGAATCGAAGAAATGGACATTGTATTATAGCCGGAGGTCAAACGTTGAATCGGTGGTAAAGGTCCCAGGGAATCAATAGGAGGAAGTTCGTGATGTGGCTGACCAGAGAGAGATCTCGGAGAGGGAATCGGCATGACTGGTGAATCGGTGGCAGAGATTGGTGGTAGTGACAAGCCGGAAGGATTTGAATCAAGTAAAGTCGGAGGAATGGGTAATTGAAAAGAGTTCGAAAAAGAAGTCGAGGTTTGTTGAGGAAGGGTAGCGGATATTGGCGGTAGCGTGCGTCTCAAACGTTTTGTTTGGTGGTCGGATAACGGGAGAGAAGTTTCTGGTGAAGAGAGAGGCGAGTCTTCGGGTAGAGGTCGTTTTTGTGAGGACGAAGGTAAATGCTCCATTTCACGAATTTATTAATAGTGTGAATGAAAAAGAGAAAAAAGCTAGAGAGAAAGCAATGGATTGATCGTATGATAACCTAAATTTAATTGGACAGACAATACCTATTCCTATTTATGGTATGTTACGTAAACGTTATTTGGAACTTGATTAAAATTTAATTGTGCCTTTTAGGAAATGCTAAATACAACAAAACGTCAATCACACAAACTAAATACTCGCTATCTAAACACCGTATATATATACATATATATTGTACGTATCGGTACATATATTGTATATATATAGTTAAATATTCTTTTAACCATATAATGTGATAGTCCGTAATTTTTTATAGATGAAAATGAAAATGAAAATCAAAAAAAAAAAAGACTATTATAAAAATTATATTTAAGGAATTATCATGTGAGGCAAAAGGTAATGAATGCAACGGATATTACAAGTATAGTTGCCTGTTCGAAAATCGGGTTTTGCGCCGATTGATAAATGTAAAGTTCATGCTTTCTCAACAGTTGAATTTCCATTGTCAACTACGTCACGACTATCATCTTGAACTTTATCATCACTGCTCCCGCTGATACCCATTTTATCAAGGATAGCAAAGTCCGTTAGGTTTCCCTCATCGCTACGATCTGAAGAATCCTGTGCATGCGAATTATCTAAAGATGATGTAATATGGATCGATGTCTCCATGGATCCTTCCACGTCAGGACTCCTTCCATCTTCAGTAGTTTTTAAAATTGCTAGAGTTTGTTGAACGTTCGTTTCCTTCGACGTTAAAACTGGAATAGATAAGGAAGTGGTAGACTGCTGATCTGCAGATACGAAGTTAGCAACTGCGTAAGGTTGATCGGATACAAGGGAGTCGGAGGTCTGTGTTGTGTTGGATGAAGCTCTGAAACCTGATTGGAAGTCTGCCGACGACCAATCAGCAACAGTAAGAAGTTGCTTACGCTCTTGCGTATTTGATGATGACCATTGGGTGGATGGATCCTAAACAAAAAAAAAAAAATGAAATGAAATGAAAGTAAATAAATGAAACATCTAGAAATGGGAATCGCATAGCATACATCTTCATCGCTATCGACCGCTAAATCATCTCCTAGAGAAGACCTTTGGCTCTCAAAAGAATCACCCTGCGACAAAAGTAGGCATCATCAGTAAATGTCATCGCTGCACGCGCTTTTCTCTCTTCTTATTTTTCCGTTCTAACCAATTACCTCAAGCATATTGGTGCTTCCAAAATGCCCGCGCATCTCAAACTCATCCCTGTCGTATTCATCACTGATTCGAATTAGTATATTAAATGGTGGATGGTAAAGTAATATCTGAGATGATTTTTGGAGCAATGATAAAACTTTATGCTAACCCCATCCATGCCTCCTCGTCATCGTCGCTTTCGTCCGACGAACAAAACTTGTCGGGTAGGTCATTTGTAATCTGTTGACACAGGTACCTCGCAAACTGCCATTTAAGCAAACGTGCGAATTAAAAACGCACAATCCGGTACCAAAAACACAAACTCAACTAACCTGATCACTGGCCATGTCGCCATCGGCAACAGTCTCGATTGGGTTATCATCTTCCTCATCGTCGTCCTCGCTTTCTTCACGACTGGGCGACGCACTATCATGATTACTTGGACGCTGACCACCTAGATGTGCCTGGTTTCGTTCCTTCGTTTCACGTAGGGTTTTTGACACATATTCCTGCCAATCCTCAGCTTCAATGTATTCTAACAATATAGGTATAAAGTTAATGAGTTGGGGTAAACTATAACGAGGAATTCGCGAAAGACCCCACCTGTAACTTTCTCACCGATCTCAACTGCGTATGAGTCAAGTAACTTCACGACTTCTTCGGCGATGAACGTTAAATGTCCCATGTATCCTAATCTCACGCCCTTTGGTTGTTCGCTATAAAGTTGCAGGTAAAACTATGGTTAATTAAGAAAAGAGGGATTATCAAAATTCAACAAGAGTAAATAAATGTGTTGAATAACTTGCACTTCGTAATCATTTAACCTCTGTGCTTTTGTAATGCGTTTTGTGAGCTGTCCGTCGGTAAAAACCTAGGAAAACAGGAATGGTATCGAACAATCGCTATTCTTCAGGACATTGGAGGACATGCGCGCATGAATACTACATACTGAAATTGCCAATGCTTTGTTATATCCGACATCCATCCGTCCATGAAATATTTGTGCGGTCATATCATATACAACGGTATGTAAGAAATTGTTCCATTTAAAGTTGAAAAATAAATCCTTTATTAAATAAATAAAATGAATATGAAATGAAAAAAGATCACAAATGAGAAAAAAAAAAAAAAAAAAAACACTTTACAAAACAGGTCGGCATGATTTTGTGCTCAATGAATTTAGCCTTCAATATGTCACCGACCGGTAATTGAGGCGAGGTTGGTCCGTTAGTATTATTCGAGTTCGCAGCATATTCTAAGCTGGGAGGAGTTTGTACGTTTTCTACAATTTCCATTAATATGGGAGACGAAACCGAGGAAGTTGATGGTTCTGGATTAGATCCTGTTGACTGAATAGAGTCCTTCTGAGGCGATCCCTTATTTGGTGTTTCCATTTCATTTTGTGGTCCCCCGGTTTCCTGAACGTTTTCACTTGATACATCTCGATTCGGTTGAGAATAATTGTCAACATGCTTTAATTCGTAAAATCCGTTAGTTGAAATCTCGGGTCGAACTACATTCAGTAACCTCATGTTTGAACAATGAAGTAGTTCGGCAAAAAGTTCGCAAATTTTAAATCTTTCAAATCCGAGGGGAACCATTTTTCCGATGGTCGTATCAATCTGGCCTGACTTTTTTGATATCAAAAATTTAGCTCATCGATCATAAATATCATTCGAAAATTGAAAGACCATCACGCAGAAAAGATCATACCACAGACTTAGGATTTTCAAGCAATGCTTTAAAGTCCCCTATTCGGTTGGCCAAAACTCGCAACATGTCGCTTAGGTCAACAACAGGATGCTGTTGTTGGTGTGATGGTAGGGAAAGTATAGCTTCCTCACTATAATCGCTGGGCGATCGACATCAACGCATGATTTTGTTAAAGTGGAATAATTACTTGCATTAGTTAGATGCGACGTCTCAATTATTTTTCTCTAAAATCAATGTGATTCCACCTTTTTCTAAATACCTATAATTTTTTTGGATGATCTGAATAAATATGGCCACACCATTCGTTAATGTAGAGGTTGAGTTTGGTGCATTGGGATCAAGCATATAGCTGACGAGACGTGTAACAGTACTTTCACTTATAATAACCAAAAACTTCGTTTTAACAAATGATGTTTTTGACAAATTGAGAAAAAAAAAAGAAGAAGAAGAAGAGGAAAAAACCAGAATGAATAATAAATAATACTTTCACAAGACGCATACCTGATGAGGTCTCTACTTAAAGCATTCGGACCCACGCCTCCTTGCTCGGGATTACTTGATTGGGAAATGTTAATAATTTCGATAAGGACCTGAGCCGCCGTTGAGTGCACCTATAAAAAGATAAATAGTTTGTAAAAGGCGGTGCAAATGTGTAAATTGAAATTTAATCCAAATATGACCATTACATCAGGTTCAAGATAAGGATCTAACCGAGAAATTAATTCATTGATAAGACCTTCTGAATTCAACCACTGATGTTTGTGTGTACATATGAATTGCGGCAGTCGAGAGAAAGGTGTAAATAAGTCATGATAAGGAATTTAATCAAAACTTGATCCGAATACCACTAACATCAATCACCCCGGCACCTTCCGGGTACTCCTCCACGCTGATAAGCTTGAGTAATAAGTCCATAATGGTAGGTGTCTCCATATGGTTCAACATCTTTTTTACAACATTGGGAATGGATTGAATAAATTTCGCCATCTATATCAATGATAATGGTCAATAAAAATCGATCTTTGGATGTCTACTCCTTTAAGCCACATGGTCTGATCCATCGTTTTACCTCGCTCATCTTTTTTTGTAGGAATACCACGTTGACCTTAGTAAAGTAACTTGCTTGTAATGGATTCAATGGTGACGCACGATCCAAGAATTGCCAAAATGAACTGAGTAGATCTACATTATCAACGACAGCCTCACAAATTGTCCAAATTTCGCAAGATAAAACTTCACACGCAATATATTGGTATCTATCGTTGTAGCATTTCCATGATTAATTTTACGAGGATACTGTTTTGAAAATTCAGTTCTAACTGCACAACATACTTATATCTCATATTTTCTTCCAAGTCGTCCCGAATTATGTAATTCAATAGTTGAGAGAGAATTGATGGATTACGAAGACTGGTTCTGTCAAGGATAATAACATGAAGTTTATGCATGGTGTTTTAGATCTATAACATTGTGACTTGAAGGTAGCAAAGTACGATAACCCTGCGGTTCATATTCAGCCTAATTATCTCTTCGATCAAAAAAAAAAAAAAAAAAGGATACTATTCAATCAACTTGTTATTATGTGCTTTACATTCTTGGAGTAATTCGTCTTCGTCCAACAATTCCTCTAAAGTTAGATCTTCCTTATCTAGAAGTGAGTCAATAACCGAATTGTTCAAGCCGCCGAATCTCCAGAACATTTTAAATAAAGATATATATTATATATATATATATATAATTTTTTTTTTTTATTATTTTTTGAGGGAGATTTGTTTTTTCTTTTGTAGGTCCTTGAGTGATTGCGATCACAATTAAACGTAATATCTCTAAAGAATATTACTATAGTTTTTTTTTTTTTTTTTAGAAGGATAAAGCACGTGGATTTGCTAATTTCCCTGCGTAGATACATGCCTTATTAGTTACTTTCATAAATTATTATACATGAAAATAATTACAATGCTCACTTTATAACTTGTCATTGTGCATTAGATAATATTTTATATTTCTGATAAATTGATACTAAACTATTTACCAAGATCATTATTACTATAAATTATTCTGAAAAATGATAAATTATAAAATTAATTAATTAAAATAATAATAATAATAATTTAAAAGATTTTTATTTAAATAAAATATTTTTTTATTTTAAATTATTTAAAAAACTTATTTATCAATTATTTAAGAAATATATTATCTTGAATTCTTAAAATAAAAATTTTATTTTATATTTTTTTATTTATAAGATTTAGATTTATAATTTAAATAAAATAATAGTATTAATTTTTTTTTTAACTTGCAATTATACTATATAGCTTAATTTTTATTGAGAAGTTTATTTAATTATCTATAATATTATAAATTTTTTATATAATGACTAATCCATCATTATACTTACTGAAATATTTTAAATCAAGTTTAAAAAATAATATTTTACTTTTTTAAAGAATTAATATAAACTTCTATTTACTAGGTTTATTATTATCAATTTATTATTATTATTTTTTTTTTGTATACCTGTAGCCAAGCTAGATCATAAGTTTATTAATCAATTAAAAACATAAGTACATTTTCATTTGAGCAGCATGATACATACTACAGCTAAACTATTCTTCTAATCTAACAAACCTGTCTTAGGCATAAAAGCCTCTAAGTTTGGCCTTGAGAACAATATTTCGCTTCGCAATGTCTTTGGGTAAAGACCCTCCTAATCCACTGCATCATTACCAACAGGTTGTCACTGCCATATGTCATACCAAGCCACTGAATTACAGGAAATTACAAAAGAATGGGTTGAAAAAAAGGAGAGGAGGATATCTAAAAATGTCTAAGTAGACCACAAGAAAATGAAAGAGTAAAAAATGAAAAAAAATTATTTCCAGCTTTCTCCAAAAACCTGCTTCTCAAGACCTTTTCTCAATAAGAAATACCTGATTAGGATATCCTTTCTTTTCCTGATCGTCTGAGAAACTTATCCATTCTTGATCTTGACTTCCTTCTTGTGTACCGTCTGAGGAGACTTATCACCTAGTGGAAGCCTTTACTTCCAGGACACACTTGGTCCCAATCTTCTTTGGGCAGTAATTTTTTATTCATCGGCGGTAGATAGACAACTTATGATGGACTCCAAGTTCTTATGTGACCTAATAGGAACTAGATTATATTGTTTCAGTATGATACCTTCTAGCAGTCATACCTAGTTAAAGAAATTTTACTGGTATATATCTTCCATTGCCCAAAATAGTCTTTCCCCAAAGATCTTTTTGCTTTACAATGGTGGGAGGGTACCAGAAGAGCAATGGGGATCCTCGTCAATTGCAATATTCTTTAACAACTTCTGGGGAAATACATTCTCAACTGTAATCAAAGAATTGGAGCTTAGTATGGACTAGAGACTATTCGGTCTTATTGCCTGACTAGGATAAGAGTGAGACCTTGATCTTGAACTTTGCCTGACTGAAATAATAGGAGAGAAAGACCTCAGCTTGAATGAATAGCAGCTTTTTCACTACCTAGGGACTTGTTGTTCGTATCTTATTGACTTCATGGAACTTGATCTGTAAATGAACCCAATTGAAAAAGTGGGTGGACATGGGGTACCAATCAACTCTTTCTATCACCAATGACATCATCAGAACACGTGAGGTGGCCAATAGGAGCTTGTTTACATTCAATTACTAATGTGTTTCATGTCAACCAATCAGATTCCAGGTGATATTGTGCTACCAGAAGGTCTTATCAATGAATTAATTTCTCGGTTAGATCCTTATCTTGAACCTGATGTAATGGTCATA